CCCGACCCCCCGCGCCCGCCCCTCGCCTCGGCCCGGCCGGGGATGGGGAGGGCTGGACCCCCCCCCCTTTTTTCAGGTTGTTTTGTTTGGAATTCCTTGGCGTCGGGCGAGGTGCATCGCTGTCCTCGACCTGGCCTTGCGGGAGAATGCAGATAAACTTTGGCCTTTCGCTGCAAACTTGGGCAGACTGGACGGCTTTTTTTCACCCCGCACCTTTCCTTTCATGGGTCACCGCCTCGGGGGACAGGATGCCTGGCGGGTCCTGCCTAGAAGCGGACCCCCCCGCCCCCGTCCATCCTGGCCATCCTGTCCCCGAAGTCGCCTGGCCAGGTTCTCCCCCCCCTAATACCACCCTCCTACCCCGACCCCCTCCGGCCCCGCGCTCGCAGAACCCCTTCACTTGCCGATCGTCCCCCCCAACCTCTCCATGTCCCCCCAACTGCAAAAAGGAGGCCGGGGGAGGGAGGGTCTTACCTTCATTCGCAGGGTATACCCTCGAACCGGTGACAGCGTCGCAAATCCCAAAGAGACACGAGAAGAGGACCACATAGAAAACGCCAGCCATGGTGCGCGGGTGCCCACGCCGCTCCAGCCGCTTCTATCCCAGTGGAATAAATGCTTAAGTTAGGAGAGCAGCGGGCTGAAGACATTGCCAAGAGGGCGGGCCCGGCCCGTGACGTCCTCCCGCCAGTCTGCAACTCCGGGCCAATGGCGGCGGGGGCCAGACGCGCAGGCCCCGCCCCCGGCGCGCAGCCCGCCCACCCCCACCCGGGAGTCCCGCCCCTTTTTGCCTGGGCGGGGGCGCTGCAAGGTCTCTGGGGGCTTCCAGGCTCTCTCCTCTATCTCTCCCTCAGGGGAGTAGGGGTACGTTGGGGGGGGGGAGCGTTGAGCCCGCCCCGACCCCTCTCAAGTCCTCAAACCACATCTCCATGGTCGTGTGCCTGGAGGTCTGAAAAAGCTTCAGGAGATACGAATTGATGGTGGGGCACCCCCGCGCCCACACTCCACAACACCCTAAAATCTGGACAGCCCGCACCCCCACCACGGGAGGTTTCTTATTGGAGTGGCCTGAGAATAGAGTTGGCCCGCCCCTTCTCGGTTGGGGGGGGTTCCGAGGACCGTCGGGGGCGGCCCCCGCGCCCCGCACCGGCCCGGGCAGCGCGCTCACCCCGCACCCCTCCGCTGCTCCCCATCCCGGCCTTCACGGCGCGCCTCGGTCTGGAAGGCTTTGGGGGAGCCGTGGCTTGTGGGTTACTCATTACGGCCCGATCCCAGGCCGTCCAGAAAGCCGGGACACGGCAGTCGTCTCCCCAACGTCTAGCGCGCAGCCGGGCTCAGCCACGGTCCCCGGAGACGAGACGGGGGACCTCCCAACGCGGGGACGTCGGCGCGTTCCCGGCCGGGCGGCCCCGGCTCCGGGGTGTGCGTGCGTGTGTGTGTGTGTGTGTGTGTGTTCAGGGGGGGCGAACTCTCTGGAACCCGGTCTGGTGATCCCGGGGCGCAGGGGGGGGCCGGTGTGCGGGCGGGTGAGGCACGCGGACCGCGCACCGGGCGCAGGGCGAAGCTGCCCGGAGCGGCCCCGGGGGCTCCGCGCTCCGACCCGTCCTCCCAGCCCCGCGCCGGCACGCAGGGTCCTCCGGGGCCTCAGGAGACACCCCCCCCCGAAACAAGAACAATCCTCACGGGGTCGTGGCCGCCCCCCCCCCGGCGTCGCGGGCGTCACCGGCGACCTTCCAAGGGCACCGGCTCCCAACCGGCTGAGGTCGGTGCCTCGATGGCACGGACGCCGCCACCAGAGCGCAAACCAACGACGGCCGCTCAGCCAGCGGCCGCCCGCCGGGGACCGGGCGCCCAGGCCACCGCGCGCCTAAGCCTCCGCCGTCCGAAAGGGCCCGGATTCCTGGAGACGAGTCCCTTCTTCCCCCCCCCCCCCCCCGAGCGGCCCCTCTGTGGGCTCCCGCGGGGGCCGGGCCAGTGCGTCCCCCTCCCCCAAGTCCTCCCCATCGCCCCCTCCCCATCTCCAGCCTGGGTCCCAGCGGGAGCGCGACGACGGGGAGGTGGAGGCGCCGCTCCTGCCGAGGCCGCGGCTCTCGGTGAACCACGCGCGCCACCTGCCGGCCAGATGCGGCAATGCGGGACCCGGGGAGAAGCCTGAGCGGACAAAGACTCCCCCAATCCGCGGGCACGGAGGTGATGGCGAGCGAGCGGGTGGACCCCGGTGTCTACCCACCTGCCGTGCCCGCCCCGCGCGCCCCGGCGCCCCGCGAGCGCTCAGGCCACCTCTGCGGGGTGATGACGGGTGGCGAGGCCAGGGAGATCCGCCTGGCTTCCCGCCATCTGGATGACCCAAGATGGATTCAGAGCGTTTGGAGGAGAAACTTCGCTGGGGTTGCGGGAGTAGCTCGCTCGCCCGGGGGGGAAAAACCCGAATCCGAGATCCGGAGCGGCGTGTGGCTGCGGGAGGAGGGGAGAAGACCGATCACCGTGTCCTGGACTGCGGTTCCAAATCTCGGCTCCCCCCGCCCGCCCCGATCCTCCCACGCACCCCCCACCCCACCCCGGCTTCAGTGGCAAACTCCGACCTCAGCGAATCACCTGGGCAACTTGTACTTTGACCTAAGCGAGTGCGCTGGGCGAGGCGTTGGGCCGCGGTGGCTGGGGAGCTTGCGGGGAGGAGGGCGGGATGGGGGGCTCGGGGAAGGGGGACAGCGTGGGGGTGCGTCTCTGGGGAGCGAGCTACTGACACGCCACCGGGGACGTGGATTTGCAGTTCTCGTAGCTTGCCGATTGCTCCCGAGCAAAAAGGAGGAGGGGCCTGCGCACGCGGGATGTGGTTGCGTGTCCAGATACATTAGTGCAAAATAGCTGCACGAAGTCCATTTAAGGCATGCAGGTCTCGGCTCTTTCGTGTGTCTCCCCTGAGCTTTTTTTTTTTTTTTGCAGGGAAAGAAGGTGCACGTGGGTCCCTGTGGTTTGGCACACCCGTTGAAAAGAGAAAAGAGCAATCCGAATTCTTTTTAAAACATTTTTTTTAAACAATAGCCTGCCCGGTTTCTGCTCGGCGGGGGCCCCGAGTGTTTTTATGTAGCTGTGGTTGAAAAGGAAAGACGGCTGTCTGCCTGGGTCAAAACGGGGGAGGGAGATGCTAAAACATCTACCACTCCCCACCCGGGGTATGCAACATCGGTGGCAGCCACAGCTTCCTGGAAGCAAGATTTTCGTAGCGACAGTACATGCACCGATTCCTTGCAATTTTTTTTCTAGTTCCCCCCACCCCTTCTTTCTTTCTTTTCATTCCAGGCCTCAAAACAGACCAGTAGCGAGGAGAAACAATCTTGGGAGAAGCTGCTCTGTCTCGGTGAAAATCGAAATGAGCTGCCCGAAGGCTGGCTACCTAGGAGAAGGGCTCTATGACAATTACTTCTAACCAGGGTGTTCCTACCTCAGGAACAGCGACTAGGAAGACAAAATAACGTCCTTGGTCCGTCACCAACGCAGAACCCACCCTCCACCCGCCCATAATCCAATGTTTCAGGGTCTAAAACAAATCAGTGTAGCTGTGTGCACTTAATACCATGCTTGCAATTTTAAAAAATCACTAAGATCATCTAGTTTTAAAACAAAATAACTCCATTCTTTTGAGCAGAACGAGCTCTCACTGCTGCAAGAATTCAAGAGTAATTGGAGTCCACCAAGGAATGTACAAAAATATATCTCCTAGAAAACTTAATGAAAAAGAGGAGAGGGACACAAAGGCACCCTATGTACATCTAACCACATAAAATAATATTTATCGAAATGCACTCCAGGAAAAGGACACAAGAGGGTTTCTTTCCCCCTTCGTTGCTGTTTTTGTTTTCTTTTCCTTTTGTTTGTTCGTTTATCTGTCTTTGGGAGGCGAAGAGGGGCACAGAAATGGAGGGACAAAGGGCGAACAAATGCAGCCTTGGTACTCACTAGACATGGAGGAAAATGAATTATACAACTTGTGGGTGGGAATGGGAGGAAAAAACTGGGAGAGAGCCAGGGAAGGGACATTGTCCAAAAATAAATGTACTCTTTATCTGACTTAGATAATGTAACCCCTCTGTACCTCACCTTTACAATAACAATAAAAATACATAAAAATAATTGCAAAATTTAGATGTAGTTTTTGCTTTTTAGATACCGTGCCTACTGACCTGAGTGACAAAATACTTTGTGAATATTAAGCTGAATTAAGGTTGGATTTCTGAGGAAAGGTTCATAATCTGTGAAAAAAATGTTTTAAAATATCACCAAGAATCCCAGGATTTCTGCCTAGAAGGGGAAGGCCAAGGTCAACAGGTGAGAAAAGTCTTGGGTCTGGAGCAAGCCATGGGTAATGCTTGGAAAATCTGAGCCAAGGAAAGACCATTACACATTATGATAGACTTCCTGGCTACTTTGGGTCTCAGTCCTGTGTGTGTGCATGCACACACATACACAAGATGGGTCTGAGGCTATAGCTGGGGCTGGAGCTGGGCTTGAACTCAGGGCCTCAAGCTTTTGCGTGTTGTTTCCCTCCTGATGTTAGTATGCCACCATACACTGCCACATGAGCCACACTTTTACTTTCGGATTTTTACTGGTTAATCAGAGATGAGAACCTTCAGATTTGTCTGCTCAAGCAGGCTTTGAACTGAGATCCCCTGATTTCATGTGGTAGCAAGATTTTTTTTTATTAGCATGCATTTTTTGGACAGGAAAGTTTCACTGGGACATTTGCACACTTGTACACACCATCTCCTGGTCAGCCTCACCCCTTCTATCATTCTCCCTTTCCCCTCTCCCTTCTCATTAAAACCATTTCAACAAGTCTCATTGTTCTAGTCTCATGCATGCAAATAAACTACATCCACTGTATTTGTCTTCATTCACACCACATTTGTCAGCCCTCCGACATTCTGGTGGTGCCCAACCTCCCAACAGAGCCTGTGTGACTTTCTGGGATTCGTTCCTTTAGTCTACACCAAGGGATTTCACCATGGGATTTCAGACATCCATACATTATATTTTGCTCAGAATAAGCCTCTTTACTGATCTCTTTTTCCCTGCCCCTACTCTAGCTTTCATTGACAGCTCTTATGCAGGCTTCATATACTATTGCACCGTGTTTAGAAAATACTCACTTTACCACTATTATTCTTTGACTCTCACTTTCCCCTCATCCCCCTAAATGGTACCCTAGTTAGAGCCATGTTCTATGTGTATGTATATTTACAAATAAATATATATAGGTGTATATGCAGATGCCTATGAATATGTATGTTTTAAAGATCTCTCTTTTGTGTATGAGCTAAACTACACACATTTGGCTTTTGAAGTTTGTCTTATCTAGCTCAACATGATGTTTTCCAGTGCAATTTGTTTTCCTGAAATGATGATTTTCTTTGTCTTTTTGGCTTTGTAACATTTCATGATATATAGCTACATGATATATATATATATATATCATATCTTTCTTTCTATTCTTTATTGGGCACTCTAATTCTATATTTTGGTTCATATAAACAAAGCTGCGTGAACATGGGTATGCAGGTGTCTTCCTTACATATTGATTTATGCCCAGGTGAGGTCATAAAGTGGTTCAATTTTTAGTTTTTTGAGGAATTTCCATACCGATTTCCATAGTAGTTGCATTAGTTTACATCCCTATGTTCAGTTCCTGAGAGTTGCTTTTCCCTCATATTCTCATCAGCTAGATGGATTTTCTGCCTGTCTCTGAATAAGTCACTTCCCTGAAATGTGACTTTCTTAACTGCAAATTTTAGATAACTATATAATTCTTCTAAATATTGAATGATTTTTATAGAGCACACAACATCTAGAATCTGGCACTTGGGAGACAGCTCCTCGTACTCTTACATAGAATGCATTAATAATTATTTAAAATGTTGTTAGTTTTAAATGGGACATGTTCACTCAGCTTGAAGTTTGTACTCATGAGGAAACCAAGCCCTGTGATTTGTCTTTTGTTTTACTTCTTTTCCTTTTTGCTTTTGTTTGTCCTTTAACAAACTCCTCAACTCCTGTAATAGGAAGGGAAGTAAATTTGAACTTCTCCTCTTTCGTTGTCGCGTTGTGAAAGCTTAACCCCACCCCATATATTCCTGGATGCTTCCACTGGATTTGAACCTAGGGACTGTTTCTGTCTTCCAATTTCATGGTTGTAAAAATAGTAAATGAAATAAGTTAGGAAGAACCAGAAACTTGGAACCAAGTGGGGATGGTAAGCAAAATGATGTGTAATGAAATCTTCACTTTTGTCAAAATGACATTTTCTACAACAGCTGCCAAATATAGCATTTGATGGACTTTGGGAAGCCCTGGGGAAACTCAATTACCATCCTCTGGTATCAAGGCTGAGATGCTGCTTCTTATGCAAAGGAGAGGCAAGGCTCCTGTCCCTGGAGTGGGAACAGGACCAAAAAGATCTTGTGGTGATGGATAAGTAGAAAAGAGATCAACACACAGTAGGAGGCCTATTTTCAGTCAAAGAGCGGAGAAGGGGTGATAGGAAGGTTGGAGGAGCAATGGTTTGCACTTTATCTAATTCAAACAAACATTTCTCAAGCAACAAACTCTAGTTCTTAAGTTTTCACCTCACCCTTAACTATGCATAGCTATCTATAACTTGTGGGGGACAAGAAGAAAGTATCTGGAATCTTTCTTCTAGGACAGGTAGCGAGAGAGGGAGAGGGAGGGGGGGAGAGAGAGAGAGAGAGAGAGAGGAAGACTCCTCAGTGCAGTCCTCCAACTCTCCATCCCTGGAGCTAACACTACAGAAATAATGAATCTCATTCTCACTGGTCTGCTTTGGGAACATGAGGATTTTTTTTTTTTTAAATAG